GTTTGTCTGGATTTCTAGGTCTGAGAAGATCATCTTCCATTGAACTCTTCCATTTCATACACACACATACAGCCAAAGGTCAATATCCTTCCAGCTTGTGAATGAGGTCCTTTGTGGCCTCATTTATAGGATTCTGGGAAGGATGGTGGAGTCTGGGGATCATGTCTTACTCATAGCCCCAGACTTCCACAGAGTTCTTCAGAGTTCTGCAGAGAGACCTTGAAAAGATCCTTATATCAATTCTTCTGACCACCATGTGAGTGCTTGCCTTGTGTGAGTTCTCCACTAAATAGTCTTTTTGGCAAATGTACATTTGGCATTCAAACAATGTGGCTAGCCCATTGGAATAGCACTCTCAGCAGTAGAGTTTGAATGCTTGGCACTTTAGCTTGAGAAAGGACCTCGGTGTCTGGTACCTTATCTTGCCAGGTGATCTTCAGAATTGTCCTAAGACAAGTCAAATGGAAGTGATTCAGTTTCCTGGCATGGCGCTGGTATAGTGTACAGGTTTCATAGACATACAACAGTGAAGTCAGCACAATGGCTCTGTAGACCTTCAGTTTGGTAGGCATTCTAATACCTTTTTTCTCCCACACTTTCCTTTGGAGCTCCCGAACACTGAGCTAACTCTGGCAATGCATTTGTCAACTTCATCATCTATGTGTACCTCCCTGGAAAGTATACTGCCAAGATGTGAACTTATCCACAGCATTCAAAATTTCTCCATTTGCTAAAACTGATGGTTCCATGTATGGATGGCACAGTGCTGCCTGGTGGAAAACTTGTTTTCTTGATGCTAACTGTCAGGCCCAAATTAGCACAAGTGTTAGAGAGTCAGTCCATACTCTGTTGAATCTCAGCCTCCAAGGCTGCATTGAGTGCACAATCATCTGCAAACAAAAAGCTGTGCACCAACTTTCCCTCCACTTTAGTCTTGGCTTGTAGTATTTTCAAGTGAAATAATTTACTATCAGTGCATCACTTGATGCCTTTCTCATCCTCATTGAAAGTGTCTGACAACATTGCAGAAAACATCATCTTAAGAAGCACGGGAGCGAGCATATAGCTCTACTTTACTCCATTGGTGACTGGGAAAGAGTGAGAGCATTGTTCACCATCCAGAACCCTTCCAGCATACCATCATGGAACTGGTGTACAATACTGATGAACTTCTCTGGACAACCAAATCTTGCCGTGATCTTCCACAAGCCCTCATGACTGACAGTGTCAAGGGCCTTGGTCAGATTGATGAGCATTGTGTGTAGACTTCTGTTCTTCTGATATTTCTCTTGGAGTTGTTGGGCAGCAAACACCATATCAACCATACCTCTACCCTTTCTGAAGCCACATTGGCTCTTAGGTAGATAACCATCCTCCAGGTGAAGGATCAAACAATTAAGAAGGACTCTGGTGAGAACCTTTCTAATAATGAATAAGAGAGAGAGCCCTCCTGTGATTGTCACAGGACAACCTATTTCCCTTTCCTTTATAGAGATGGACAATGGAGGCATCCTTGAACTCCTGAGGGGTAACCTCCTCTTGCCATATAACCTGGAAAATTTCAGGCAGCTTTTGTATGAGCAGTGGACCCCCTGTCTTGTAAATCTCAGCTGGAATGGAATCAGCACCAGGCACTTTGCCACACAAGAAGAGCCTAATGGCATTACAAACCTCTTCCTCAGTTGGAAGTTTGGCCATGGGGGATTGACTTCAACCTGAGGTGTATGGTCATTGGCTTCAGCATTGGTTGATGATGGTCTATCGAGAATGCCATGGAAGTGTTCAGCCCACCTCTGTCATATCCTTATCACTAATCAATGTATTTGCTGTGCTCCAGTGTGACAAGTGCTGGTCATGGTCCCATTGTGTGTGAGGAGGCAGCACGGACAACCATATTGGAAAAGCAGTGTCCAGTGTAAAACCTGTCTCCTAGAATGTGTAGGAGCACAGTGAGAGCCCAAAGCCTCCTCCAGAGCTCTAGAAGCAGGGGAGAACAAGGCAAGCAGCTTGGGACCCTAAGGAGAACCATTGATTCAATTTGTGTCTGTCTGAGACTCTGGTTCACATGGTTGGCTGCTGGCACCACTGGGCAGTGCCCAATTATTATCCTCCTACTTTCCAAGTAGCTGGTGGGCCCTGATACTGGGGGCCTGGCTAGGGCTGCACCCATCCATGCCAGAGACAGACCCATCTCTGCCAGGGACTGATAGATGTGCACAAAGTGAGGACTGTGTACAAATCTTGCCGTGTGATTGCTGAAATCACTCAAATCTTCAATGTCTGTTCAGAATATTTTTTAATGTTAGGATCCCTAAAAAAATCAGATCCACTATCTTTCTCTTCCCCCCCAACCCTAACATTTACTTGCAAGGACTGCATGGTCTTTGTAGTTAGAAGTCCTAGACTAGGTGAGGAAGCTGCTCATTTCTTCTCTGGCTTCCTTTTTCACCTCCAAGGAGCCAGGATGGTCAGATAACAATCAACACACATCTCTTAGATAGTCACTGTGCCCAAGTATTGGGGATACAAAAGCAGAGACTGCATTGCTGGTTGTGGACCTTTACTCCACCACCTCCCTGCCAAGACACAGAATGTTATTTTATTAAAAGTTAATGTATTTGAAGGTTAGTTGGGAAGTTTTGCTGTGACAAAATTAGTATAAAAATAATTTTTAAAGGTTTTTGACTTATATGTAAGCAATCCTCCCACCCCAAAGAATGAAACTCTTTTAAGACCTGCAAATTGTAAATGGCTTATAGTTTATGGTTTTCTGTAGCATGGCTTTGTAGCTAATTTTGAATCTTTAAAAATTCAATGATACTTTAAAATTTTTCATTATTTTATCTAGTTTTATTAAATATTCACATTCAAAATAGAAAAAATATTTAAAGATACATTTAAGCAATACAAATTCCTGCCTTGGCCATGTCTCAAAAAATGTATACCTCATTTTGCACCCTTAGACCCTGGCTTCTGTGTCGAGATACAAATAGAGGGCTTCTTCAGTCCTCTGAACTTAGTTGGTGGTGTCAAAGTAATTATAAGAATTGCTTTAAATTAAAATTTAAAAGCAGAAAGTAGTAATCTCCATGAAGCTTGGGGGGAAGTGGGAGGAGTTTGGTGTTTCAGATCTATCCTAATCTCTCTTCAAGCGCCCTGCTGAGAGGTCACAGGGCAACCCTAAACCTAGCTCACATAAAAAAGACTGCCTAGCACAGGGATCCTGGGTCTAGTGCCTCCCCAGGGGTCCCCAAATCCTTGGGCCAAGGAGGAAGAACCCTGCCCCCCCCATTCCAGGACCTTGGAGACTTCTGGGAGTCTTTGCCTTAGTCTATGTCTGTCTGATAGGCATATATCTAGATCTGATTTTACACTATTTGGCAGAAAATTTTTAAATATAGTTTGAGAAGGTAAGATCAAACTTTAATGATGAAATACAGTTAAATCAGTTTTCTGGGCCTTGCAGGAGAAAGGACAGCTAAAAGCAGCTGTTTCAACAACAAAATCAATTTTTGATGCTGAAAGACAAATGGATCTATCCATAGTTCTTTTCCGTCTTTGGTCACCTTTCTGAACTTGGAGCCTCTCTGCTCACACAAGGGTACCCAGTTCAGGACCAAGAAGGGAGTCATCAGGAAGGAAATCGGACTTCTAACAAGGTGAAGACATCACTCCTGGGTCTCTGTCCTCAAGGCTAAGCAGTTGAAACAATTGACTAGCATTTCCTAAGCACCTAGTGTGTGCCTGGAGCTGTCCTAAGTGCTGGGAATACAAAGAAAGGTGCAAGACAATCCCTGTCCTCAAGGAGCTCCCAGAGTAACTGGGGAGACAATGTACAAGCACATGTACAGACCCGCTAGAGAAAGGATAAATAGGAGATATCGATAGAGCAAAATGAAGAGAGACCAGAAAGGGCTTATTGCAGAAAATGGGTCTCAGAGGAGGTCAGGAGGTGGAGACGGGAGCATTCCAGGCATGGGGGACAAAGAGTGAACAAGTTCTGAGTGAGGAGATGGGTTAGAGGTGGAGGGATGGAGGGTGTAAGAAGACTGGGAATAGAAGCGTTATAGAGACCAGACAATTTCAGATTTGATTTTGGAGGCAATAGGGAACCAGTGCAGTTTATTGACAGTGACAGTTTATTGACAAGGATGGATTGGAGTGAGGAGAAACAGGAGGCAGGAACATCCCCCTTCCCCCAGCAGCTAGCTATTGCCATAGTCCAGAGGTGAGGTAATGAAGGTCTGCAGCAGGAGATGATAATGTAAATGAAACAACACTAAAGATAGCCAAATCAGTCCACTTGTGAGCATTAACCTTCATGCAGAAGGATAGTTGCCCATGGTTTATTGCTGAATTCATTTATTCAAGTATTAGGTGCACAATGCTACAGGCATTGAGGAACAATACAATACAATGAAGAACCAAATGGTCTCAAAAACCTTCAATTCTAACATAATTTTTAAAAAAATAAGAAATCTTAGAGCTCATCCAGTCCAGTGCCCTGATTTTATAGATAAGGAGACTGAGAGAAAGAAAGAAAGAAAGAAAGAAGAAAAGAAAGAGAAAAAGAAAGAAAGAGCACTTCAGTCTGTATTCAGACAGTATCAGTCCTTCCTCTGGAGGTGGAGGGCATGCTTCTTCATGAGTCCTTTGCGATTGTCTTGGATCACTATATTGCTGAGAATAGCTCCGTCATTCACAGTTCTTCATCGTGCAATGTTGTCGTTACTGTGTACAATGTTCTCCTGGTTCTGCTCACTTCACTTTGTATCAGTTCATGTAAGTCTTCCCAGGTTTTTCTGAAATTATCCCACTCATCATTTCTTATAGCACAATAGTATACTATTACAGTCACATACCACAACTTGTTGAGCCATTCCCATTGATGGACATCCCCTCAATATCCAATTCTTAGTTACCACAAAAAGAGCTGCTATAAATATTTTTATACAAATTTTTTGATCTCTTTGGGATACAGACCTAGTAGTGGTATTACTAGATCAAAGCACCATTTTATAGCTCTTTGGACATAGTTCCAAATTACTTTGAAGAGCTCTTTGAATGTCTAATAGAGGAATATGGTTGAACCTAGCATGATTGGGGATTGCTGAAGTCTTTAGAGTAGACATGTCCAGAGCTGTGCTTTAGGAGTTTGCTTTGGTTTCTGCAAGGAGAATGGGTGGTCAGGGCAGACTGAAGGCAAGGACACTAGTGAGGATTCTTCAATACTCCAGGTGAGTGGTGATGAGGGTCCAAAATGGGATGAGGAGGGAGTCTGTGAGGAAGAAGAAGGGGAAATAGGTTGGAGCAAACAAGATTTGGCCAGGTGATTCAAGGTGTGGATGGTTGAAAGAATGGAGATATCAATCTGGGTGGCTGAAAGAGTCCCGATTAGGCCATCAGACTGGTCCCTGTAAGGCAAGGGTATGTGGGGGCAAAAGACATTTGAGGCTGTTGAAAGGCAATCCCTCTTCCCCTTGGATTCTCAGACCTCCCAGAAATAGCAAATAGACAAACAAGAGCTCAAAGAAAAACCGTCCCATTTCACTTTCCAAACCTTCCTTAGCTCCAGCTCCACCCCTTCCTTCCCCCCTCCATTTCTTAAAGAGCAGGGATGAGCCCTAATCCATCCCAGCAAGGGTTGGGAGCAGATGAATTTTTACAAAATACATTTTTGCTTGTTCCCACTCCCAACCCCACCAAACAAAGAGGGGACATCACATCCACCCCCGATCCCTCACATCCAAAGTCCCATTATTTACCATTTCTGTTTTCTTGTTCAGTGATTAGAAACCCAGTAAGCATCACCAATGAGAACTAAAAACCAAAAGAATCAGAATCCAAAGCCAAATTGGTGCACTTCCAACCAAGGGAAAAGCAAAAAATGAGTTCATGAAGAAAAGAATAAGAGCCCACCCACCCTTGGCTGATCTCTCACGTCCTTCCTGAGGGCCATCTCCAGTTGTCCTGATCTATATCTTGCCACTGGACCCAGATGGCCATGGAGGAGAAAGTGAGGCTGGTGACTTTGCACAGCCCTCCCTCACTTAAATCCAAGTCACTTGCAAGTCACGGCATCACCTCCCTGATGTCATGGTCCTCTTCAAAAACAAAGGACAAACAACAACAACAATAACAACAACAACAACAACCTTCCTCCTACCTCTGACAGTAGATGATTCTGCTCTAAAGATGATGCCTGGAAGGAAGAAAATGAGCATGTAATTGTGGCCTAGTGGAAAGAGCCTTGAACTACACTCCAAAGAACTGGGTTCAAGTTTTGGTTCTGCTTTTAATGGGACATGGGGCCTTGGGCAAATGACTTCCCCACTCTGAATCTTAGCTTCCTTAACTCCTTACCTGCAGGAGTAGAGGTGGAGGGTGAGCTGGAAGAGATGCCTGCCAAGGCTCCACTGGCTCCAGGCATCCATGTGTCATTTATTAAGTGTGACCCAGACACACAGGCTATGGAGAAGCTGCTCCAAATGAGAAGGGTTGGCCCATACCCATTGGGACTTTGGCAGCCTTGGGCTGTTCCTCTAGAGATGAGGTCCAACAGTTCCCCAGATCAAGGGGGCTGGTGCTGGAACCATTTCCTCTGACATGGGGCCCAAGAGCTTCCTTTCCCAGGTTTTCTGCAGCACCCAGACTGGCAGTCATGACCCACCTCCTTGAGGTAGCAAAGTGCCCTGGAAAGAGGGCCTCCATCTGGAGGCAGAGGACCTAGGTTCAAATCCTGCCTCAGACATTAGGAACCTGGGACTTGCTTCCTTATTACCTCCATTACCTTACCTGTCCCAGGTACTCCACACAATATGTCAGTTGTAGCATTGCATCTCTGAAGAATTTGTTTTCCCTCTGGGCACCTGAGACCAGAAAAGAGTGAAGGCTACTGCATGTACACACACACAGACACACACACATAGACACACACACACACACACACCCCTCTGTGCCCCATGTTCTTGAATGATTACAGCATGATAGGGCTCAGGCTGCTCCACCAATGTCTTCCTTTCCCCCCAAGGTCCAAGAAGCCTAAAGCCAAGCCCTTTCCTTGAACCCAGTGACAAAGGGACGTTTCTTTACTTATGGTTGGAAAACCTTCACTTATTCCAGTCCTGTGTGTTCAGTGAGAGCCAGGAAGGTCAATAAATAGGGACCTTTCAAGATTCCCTAAATCCTAGTAATTCTGCATCAGGAGGCTTTCTGGAGCTAATGCCCAGTTCCCACTCTGATAGTCCCTACTCAACAATCTCCTGTTCACTTCAAGATCAAATAGAAAGTCTCCTTTTTGGCTTTGAAAGCCCTTCACTGCCTGGCCCTCCTACCTTTTCTGTGTTTTCATACTTTATTCTCCTCCACACTCTGTTGGAACCATTCCTCTCACAGATGACTCCTTTTCCCCACTTTGCCTTTGCATTGGATGTCCCTCATGCTGAAAGTGCTGTTCTTAGCATAGTACCTGGCATAGAGTCAGAACATAATAAATGCTCCCTGCCTTGTGCCTTGTAGAGTTCTCAGTTTTTTTTCTGTAACACTGTTTTCTTAATGAGCTCACTCTAAGCCTAGGGGCTACATAATGGTCCCTGGAATGCACATTTCCTTCCTTTGCAGAGAGCTTCTTTTAGGCCAGAAGTTAATAAAACAATCACATTTGCTCTGAGCCCCCAGGTAAGAAACTTCTCCCCATTCAGGCAGAGATCAGGCTTTCAGCTTTAATCTACATTTCTATCTCTCCCCAGCAAATTCAGATTAGGGAAGTGTTTGGGCCAAGACAGTCAAGCAGATTGCAGCATGCATGGATAGGTGGGCACCTGGAGGGGAATTTAGGGAAAGAGCTGAGGAGGAAGGTACAATTGGTGGCATCAGCTCAAGTATTCTGTTTCAAGATGTCAGTGGAGTCCATGACCCTCTTCCACCTCTCCCTTCTCTTCCACAGCTCAGTCCTACCTTAGTTTCTTTTCAAGTGAGATCATATTTTCAATTGAGAAAATATCAATAAATACCTTATCACAGTGCCTGCCACATAGTAGGTGCTTAATAAATGCTTGTTCCTTTCCTTTTTAATGGTTGCCCTGGGGAGGTCAGGTCTTTTGGGGTCACCTCTCTGCTACCAGATACTTAGAATTTCTTTCTGGTTTTAAGTGCTCTCCTGGTTTCATACCAGCTCCTCAATTAGTGACCACCCCCATCCCCCAATTCTTCAAACCCTACCTAATCAGAGCAGGCCTCCTCTGGCCTTTAGTTCTGATTGGTTGATTTCATCAAGAAGCACCCCCTCCCCACCATCTACTCTCAAGTGGGGTTAGATCATCAGCAATCAATGCTCCCCACCCTAATGCTTTGAGAGTCAGCTCAAGCTCTACCTTCTCCATGAAGCTTTTTCTTTTGAGGTCCCTTCTCCACACAGTCCCCCATCCCACCCCAGCTGCTAGCACAGACCCTCCCAAGACCACCTGGAATCATTCATGTTGTATGGACACACTCGTATATGGTACTTACCTCTTGGTGCAGGGCTGGCACACCTTACAATCTGGGCCCTCACAATAGTACCCCTCTTTACATTGGCACTTGGCATTGATATTCTTATAACAAGGCATCAGCATCTCTTGGTCTGCCAAAAATGGACAGGTTTGGATTAAGGTAACCCCAGAGAGGCCACCAAGTTTGTCATATACTATTCCAAGGGGAGCATCCCTGGAACAAGCAAACGTCCAGAAGCGTGCTGTTGTCTCATCTGGCCAGGCAGCTGGCTGGATGACCTCAGAGCTCCAGTAAGGCAGCTGGGAGTTACTGCCCTGGTGGAAGGCTTCCTTCCCATAAACCGGAACTGGTCCTCCAGTCTGCCTGGGTCAAAATACTAGCACCCTGGGATACCCTAGCGAGGATGTCGTTCACACGGAGCTCAGCTCTCCTGGTCTCTGAAGCACATATATTATATATACTCTATACTGTACACAACCTGCTCAACATCACAGTTAGTCTACTATGCAGATGGGAGGTCCCCTGGAGAAAGCTCTAGACCTGGAGTCAGGAAGACCCAAGTTCAAATACAGCCACTTCCTATCTATGTGACCCTGGGCAAAGTTCTGTTTGCCTCAGTTTCCACAAGTATAAAATGAGGATAATATTAGTGTTTGGCTCCCAGGGTTGTTGTGAGGATCAAAGGAGATATTTAAAAAGTGCCTTGTAAACCTTAAGTACTACATAAATGCTGATTATGCTTATTCTTGCTGTTATTATTGCTGTTGTTACTATTATTACCCAACAGTGATAGGCCCTGCAAGAGGCTATGCCCCACAGGATCCTGGTTTATCTGCACACCAGGTTGGGGCAGGGGAGATGACATATGCAGCTAGTGTTCCCCCATACAATCAATTCAATACACATTTATTAAGTACCTACTGTGTGCCAGGTACTGTTCTATGCAATAGGAATATAAAAAGAGGCAAAAGACATTCCCTGCCCTCAAGGAACTTACAATCTAATGGGGAAGACAACATGTAAACAAACATATACAAAACAAGCTGTATATAGGATAATTAATAAGAAATAATTAAAAGAGGAAGGCACTAGAAATAAGAGAGGTTGGCAAAGGTTTCCTGTAAGAGATGGGATTTTAGTTGGGACTTAAAGGAAGCCAGGGAGATAAGTAGTCTGAGTGAAGGAGGCAAAGCCTTCCAGGAATGGGGAACCACTCAGTGACTCATTCTTCCCATGAAAGTAGGAAAGAAACAGTAGGCATGTCTGTATATGAGGGAGTGAGGAATAAGTGGGGATTATGTCACAATCTCCACAGCAGCAAAGCATAGATGGAAAAGCACACTAGGGCATCTGTGGAATTAAGCCAGGTGGATATCCCTGGCAGGAGGTTGGTGGGGGAATTCGGGTCCCTCAGCCACATTGTCTGAGTCTCAGAACTTGCCTTTCCCACCCAAAGTTCTGTGACTTTCTTCTCCTACTTAGATTCTCCCAGAATTAGCCAAACTCTCACCTCTGACAGGGGAACAGCTGAGGGGCAGGACACTGTGGGAGCCCATAGAGGATATACCCCAGAAGGCCAGTCTCTGTCCCAGGTGCCCACCCTTCCTGGGACCTAGGTTGTTCTCTACTAGGGATCCAGGGAAGGCTACAATCAAAGGGACCCTTTTCTGTACTCATGCTGACCTTCGGCAGCTTGAAGGACAATTTAAAATTCTCCAAACCCTGACTTCTTTCATCTCTCCCCAATCCCCCAGCACTGATCTATGAAGAATTGTTCTCTGAAGGGAGGAAGTAGGCCAGTCATGGGTGATCCTAAGTGAGATGCCCCCCTACCCAGGTCCTCTTGTCCATGGGGTCAACTTCCAATTCTCTCCTCTGACCATCAAATTGGAAACTTGAGGCTTGGAGTAGAAAGATGGGGACAGTGGTCTGCTATCAATGCCCAGCCCTGACTCAGGGGAAGAGGTCACTCCAGGTCTGATGCCCCAGGTCCCCTGGGCTGGCATCCCTCTCCTCAAGGAAGCTTGTAACAACATACTGACCTTCTCTGCACTGGGCACACTGCCTGCAGGTCTCCAGTCCATTCTTGGGGGCATACTCTCCAAGGGGGCACTCCTGACAAATTCCAAGGGTGTGGGAGATAACGCAATGCTTGTAGACATGGGTGCCTGTGTGAGAAGGCCACAAAGGCCGAACAACACTCAGTAGTGACTAAGAGTCAAAGAGAAAATGCCTCCTCATTACAAAGTAGAAGATTCCCTTATCAGTGTATGCAGTCTTCTACTCCCATAGTCCTTCACCTCTGAAAAGAAGGGAGGAAGGTATATTTCCTCAGCTCTTCTCTAGGGCCAGCCCAGATCCTTACAATTACCCAGCACACCCTTTAAGATCATTTGTTCTTCCAATCTATGTTGTTGGAAGCCCTTGTGTGTATTGTTTTTGCTTATGTCACTTTACATAAGTTCCTCCTTGTCTCTTTTCACAGGACAGAAATCCTCCCTTGCATTATAGTATCCCAATCCATTTAACTAAGGGCATTCATGACATGTCTAGTTCTTATGCACCACAAAAAGACAGGGTGCTATGGGTCCATAATAGTCTGGTGTGTCTGGGGATCTTCTTTCTGCCCTGCCCTGGCTAGGGTTTATGCCTATCTTTGGGAGGGATCTCTGGGTCACAGGAGCTGTATGAACAATTATGCTAAAATTCCACATAGAAATCTGGCATGCCTGAACCAAGTCCTATTCCTACCAGCACTGTATTCCTGTCTGTGTTCTTGTCTTCCCATAAGCCCTCCAATATCAGAGTCAGACTGGGAAAGACTTGGAAGGCCAAGCCAAGGAGTTTTTTTTATTTCTTCCTAAGGGTAATAGGGAGCCACAGAAGCTCCTTGAGCAGATTAGGCTATGTATGACATGATCAGATCTGTAGATTTGTGTCTTAGAAATGCCAACTTGGCAGCAGTGCGGAAGAAGAGAAGGCATGGAGACCCTCCAGACAGAAATCTATTGCAGTAAATTAAGCAAGAGGTGACAAGAGTCTGGAGGAAGGCAGAAGCTGGGGCAGTAGATGATGAGAGGGTTGCAGGGGATGCTAGTAAGGTAGGTAACCATTCTTAATGGTGGGGATGGGCAGTTATTTTCATGTTTGGAGAATGGTGCACACAAATGCTGGAAGAGGGAGGAAGGTGGCATGTAGAGTTCGGTGAGGCAAGCCTTGTTGAGCCTGGCTGGACCAAAGGGCATTTGAAGGGGAGTAAAGCGTGATAAGGCTGAAAAGGGAACCAGGAGCCCCCGGTGGATGGATTAAAAATGCCAGGCTGAGGAGTTGGTATTCTCACCCAAAGGCAGTAGTGAGTCACTGAACATATTAGAGCAAGGTGGAAAGCCTAGCCTCCGGTTTTTCATCCAAGAAGTGAGGGTGGGAACAGCTGTGGTACTTAACCCATAAGCAGGCTTTAATTGGGGGAAATGCTATGAAAACTTTAATGAGCCCTAGAAATAACCAAACTCTTTGATGCTAAGCCTCAGCTCTCAAATGTGATCGGGGCAGAGGGAGAGGAGATGGAAGCTGGCCCCGTGGAGAGGAAAATGGGGAGAGGGGTCAGGGACCTGGTGGTAGGAGTCACGTACCAGCTGGGCAGTAAGAGCAGCAATGCCCTTCATGCCAGTATTCCTTTTCAGAATCACAAGACTCGCCTGATGCTCTGTAATTTTGTTTGGACAGCAGGGTTGACTCCGATTTTCTCATAACCTGGCAAGAGAGACAAAATATTCCCAAGGTAAATAAAGTCTGAAGGTTGCTCTCCTCCCCTGAAATTCTGCGCGTCTGCCTAAAATGTGCCCCCCGACCCGACCCCACCCCAAGTCTCCCAGGCTCACCATCGGAAGCAGCAGTAGCGTCAGCAGCCGGAAGGAGAAGGAGCCTTCATATTGATCCATAACTCTGCTGTCTGGCAGGTCTGGCCCACAAGCAGTCAGACTGGCAAATCTGGGCAAAGCGCCACGCTTCCCTCCCCCCGCCCCCGAGGCTGACTCATACTGAGGCTGACCTAGGCTGATTGAGCATCGCCCTCACCTTGGAGGCTGATTGAAACCGCCCTTGAGGCTGACTGAGGCTGAGCACCGTGGCCCCGACCTTCACCCCGGCTCCAGATGACAGCGTAGCCTAAGGAGCTCAGTCTGAGCAAGGGATCGCGCATCGACTCTTTCCCAGGCGTTCCTTTCCTTCTGCAAGAAGTCTCTTCCGCTCTCCGTTCCCTCCCAGTCCCCGCCCTCAGTAGTCTGTCTTCTGTTCTGTCTCTCATTTACCCCCTGTCTCCGTTTCTTCCTCTTTCTCTCCCACTCCCGTTTCTCTCCCTGTCTCCATCTGTCCATCCTTCTGTCTTTCGGGGGGCAGGAACTGATGCTGGTGAAGATGAATTGGGCTGATTGGGGGAAAGCTGAGACAGCTTTGAGGTTCAGTCCTCAAGGGATCCCCCATCAAAGGGAAGTAGTCAGAAAAAGAGCAAGCAGGGAAGCTATGGAGACAGAAATTACTAAAGGTTTGATCCTGGTAAGAATGCACACCTGGCATACATATATATATATAAATAAAATACATATACATACATATATTATACACACGTGTAAACACACACCTATCTCAGTGTTATATTGAGGGCTGGTCAGAAAAGGTGGGTGAGGCCTCAAACCCATCCCCGCAGAATAGGTGGATGGGAACAATTCCAACAGCCAAGAAGACAGCTGAAGCAGTTGTTTCAGGCACAGTACTAAACTATTGGGATTCCATTTTCAGTAAGAAGAAAGACAATGACAGCCCTCAATGATGTTACATTCTAATAAGGGAAGATAACCTTATAAAAGGGTGCTGAAAAGTTTTTAGGGGGGAAGAAAGTTACCCACACAGGAGCATGGTGGAAAAATCTGGAGAGTCAGAAGCAGAGCCAGGAGAGGAATGAAGGATGGTAGCCCTGGGCCCCTCACCAAAATGGAAGTTCTGGGAGAAACTCATCAATGTGAGAAGGAGGGTTACAGAGGTGTAAGGAGGATGTTCCAAGGTGAGAAGCCACAGGTTCTGTGGAAAGTTCTGGAGTGAGAAGGCAACTGAGGCATTGTGGCAAAGTCTAGAAAAGCTAGCTAGCTAGAGATATAGTTATATAGACAGAGATAGACAGATCGATAAATGGATGGATGGATGGATGGATAGATAGATAGATAGATAGATAGATAGATAGATAGGTAATCACATATGTACCCTAGGCTCTTTTTTCTATCCACCCTCTTATGAACAAGTCAGGATCCCAGAAAAAGGGCTACTGTTCACCTCAGAGTTCTAGGAAGTAAGCCTTAAAGAATTGGGGTTATCTTTCTCTAGTACTATTACTCATGAGCCCATATCCAGCATATTTCCTCCTGTTTGTTGTTGTTGAGTTGTTTCAGTCATGTCCAACTCTTCATGACCCCATTTTGGGGGGGGTGTCTAGGTAATGGGGTTAAGTGACTTGCCCAGGGTCACACATATAGTAAGTGTCAAGCATCTGAGGCTGGATTTGAGCTCAGGTCCACCTGACTCCAGGGCTGGTGTTTTATCCACTGTGCCACCTAGCTGCCCCATTTGGGGTTTTCTTGGCAAAGATACTGGAGTGGTTTGCCATTTCCTTCTCCAGCTCATTTTACAAATGAAGAACCTAAAACAAACAGGGTAAAGTGACTTGCTCAGGGTTGCACAGTGTCTGAGGCCAGATTTGAACTCAGAAATATGAATCTTCTTGACTCCAGGCATAGTACTCTATTCATTGCACCATCTAGCTATGCTATTACTACCCGATAGCATTGCCCAAGCAATGTGAATACTGCCCCAATGTAATTTTCTCTCCTCAATATCAATTATCCAGATAATATAAATTAGCTTTTTATAAAGGGGTATTTACTGAGAAAATACAGTAAAACCCAAAGTACAGAGACTTCTGAAACTAGAATACCACTCTCTTCTACCAGTCTGGTGTATGGAAAGAGTGGATTCAAACTTAAAATTTTAACTGCCAACATTCCCCTCACCAAGTTCAATTCTGTGTATTTGCATAGCTGATGAATTAATGACTCCCTTTCTTGAAGGATATGGTATATTTGCTGTTGGGTCAATTCACAGCTGAGCTTGGACAAACAGGTTACTCCATGGGGCTTGCTCCTCACCTAGCTCAGTTGCTCCAGATAGGATTGGTGGATTATGGCTCATAATAGGATCTCTGGTAGTTTTTCTGATCTTTCAAAGCTAACAAGGTTGTAATCTTATTCAGTCTCTCTCTGATATTCATTCATCTAAGATCAGGTAAGGATAGATATACCAAAGACAGAAAATAGAGGTAGCTATGGGTTCATGGTCATATGGTGGCCTGGGTGCAAAGATAAGGAAACCAGTAGAGTTAGCTTTCTCCATCCAGAGGCAGACAGCAGCTCTTGTCTTACTTCCAGGAAAGAGAAGAATTTAATCTCTTTGTATCTGCTGTATAGACATTCAGTTTTAGCCAAGCAGTCAACTAAAAGACATTTGTATCACCCTACCATAAGAGAAGAAAACAGCCAGAGAATACCTGCACATACTCTAAAATGGGGAAGTGGAAGGCTCCTCTCCATCATATACTTCCAGAAGAAGGCTCATTAAATCTCACATGGGCCAATAATAGAGAAAATTTGTGTGTACTTCTAGGACTGGGCCCCCACTGGTCAGTCCCCCCATTAATCTGTGAAAGACAATGCAGATGGACAGAACTAGGCCCAGAGTTGATTAGGAGAAAAATGGGCTAGATTACTTCCAGGACATCGTAAAGTTCTTTTACTGATCCCGAGCTTCTCATGAAATCAGAGGCCTATCTTTTCAATATTGACATTTTACTGGTGCTTCATGGCAGTGACTTGGAACACCATTGCTTCTGAGAAAGAACTAAATATGGGCATCATGTAGAAAACAATGGAGAAGTATGTTGTGGATATAAGCAGGTTGCAACACATAACCAGCAAGGAACTCCCAAGAACAGGAGTAAAAGATGTCATCAAGGAATTTTGTGGTAGGAAGAGAAGGGATGGTCATGTGACAAGAAAGTGATACAGCAGGTAGACACCCAGAATGCTCCTTTAGTGGCCTAATAATATTGGAAGGAAGTGAGGAAAGTTCCTAGAATGGAAGAACATGGAAAAGAGTCACACAGGATGGGCAAGCATAGATGGATCAAAGAAATTTCAGAATCTACAAGACCACAGATCCATTTGAGCATTTGTATGTCTTCAGAATTTCATTCTTAAGAGATTCCTATCCCATCTGGACTTAATTATTCATATAATTTTAGGCCAGAGGATCATATCTAGTCCTTTAAAAAAATCTGCTTTCCCTAATTCTAAGGTGCACATCAGACTTTTTTCTCTTAATACATCTCCATCATCCTCATTTCAGCCATAGAATAGTAGTTCCTCTTATTGTTTCCTTCTCAAAGGTGAAATTAGCATTAATAAAAGAATAGAGTCTATGCTTGTGATTTCATAGGTAAAGGAAACTCCATCATTTTAGGTCAGCATGTTCTCTGAAACTTAGAGAATTGCTTAGGACACTGAGAAGTTGACTTGTCCTGCACCACATAGCCAGCATTTTTCAGGGACTGCAGGGAACTCAGATCTTCCTGGCTCTGAGGAAGATTCTATGCACTTCATCATGCTAACAGTCTATCCTCAAAGCATCAGATATTGTGCAACAATAATGCAGATAAATGAGCTATTTAAATTGTTCTTTACTTTAAAATTTTGTTTAAGGAACACTTTGTAATTGAATCTGTGCAAGTATTTTATGTGTTGGTAGATTTATCCCCAATTACTTTATACATTTTGGGGCTATTTGGAATGAGATTTCTCTTTCTATTATTGTCTCTTGGATTTTATTATTTTTCTATGGAAATGTTGTTTTAGGGTTTATTTTTAAGCCTACAACTTTGCTGAAGTCTTGATTAACACCTTTGTGGATTCCATAGAATTTTCTAAGTAAACCACGTTATCACCAGCCAACTGGGATGATACACAAACAGGTATACACAAAGCAAGTTAGATATAAGAAAAACAGGAAATAATTAACTTTGGAGAGAGCAATTTCAGTGGAATGGTAAGATTGGAAGCCAGACAGTAAGGAGTTAAGAAGAGAATGAGAGGAGAGAAAGTGAAAGCATCTATTATAGAAGGCCTTTTTGAGGAGTTTAGCTATGAAGAATAGAAGAGATATACAATGATATTTAGCAGGGATAGAAGGATCATGTGAAGGTTTTTTCAGGATAGGAGAGACCTGGGCATGTTTGTAGGCAGGAGTTGAGTAGATTGAAGAATTGAGTAGTTAGGGTGTCAGAGAGAATTAATATGTATGTTGAAGTCCTCTAGTGTGAGGACAGAAGCTGGGGAGGAGAGAAAATTGTAATCCAGGTATTGAACTTATTGAGAAAGGAAGGGGGTGATCTGGAGGTCTGTAGACAGCAGCTACCAAGATTTTGATTGATTGGTAGATATGAATAGCATGACCCTTAAAGGAATAAGGGTTACTGAGTCATAGAGGAAGGGAGAGAACCTGGAAGCAACAATGGGAAGTAAGGAGTATTCCAAGTCCCCTGCCTCAACCAGGAAGCCAAGGAGCTTGAGTGAAGGTGCAGACAATATTAGAAAGGACCCTTTCTCATGATAATAATAATAATAGTTTGGTGCCTACATATATAATTGAAGGAAATGATAAATTTCATTTCAAGGTTAGTGAAAATAAAGATGTAATTTTTCCCCATCCAAGTTCATGATTCACCTGAAATCTATCCCGTGAACTCATACTCAACATGAAGAGTCATGTCTATTAATTATATCCAAGTGTTCAGTGGTTCTTTTTCCTTTCTCCTGTCCTGTCCTATTTTTATATTCTCCAACCTCCTGACATGTCAGGTTTCTC